GCGCCTGGCCCACATCCACTTCTTAACCATAACAGATCGTAGTGTTCATGGTGCTTCCGACACGCAGACACAGTGCTAGGCACTCCGCATCCATCACCTTCTTCATCCTCACAATGACCCCATGAGGAAGATACTTTCGTCATCTCCGCTTCACAGACGGAAAAGTGGGGGCCCAAGAGGCAAAGCGACTTGCCCAGAGTCTCAGCCAGCGAACAGCAGAGCTGGGATGGGGCCCAGGCAAGCTGGCTCCAGCCTGGCATCCTTCCGTGCCCGTAACTGCTGCCCTCCCTGCAGGAGCTCATGGCTGGAGAGGCGCTTGGCTCTGCACTCATTGGCTAAACCAAGCTTCACCAAGGGCCTCCTGAATGCCAGATCCCCGTACCATGTGCGACTAGACCCAGCTGGGGTCCTTGCTCTCACGGGGTTCAAAGTTTGGTGCAGGAGACGTAGAGATGGCCCCTGGCAACATCAGATGCAGTTCTGGGTCTCGGTCACATCCTTGTCCAGTTGAGTGTTTGGACCCATGAGCAGTCTTGACACTTATTTCCCTCTGTGTACTTTCATGGGGACAGTTTCCAGGGCAGGACCCCTGACCACCTCCTCCCCACTCCCTGGCTCTGGAACAGTCTTGAGGGAGTCACAGACAGGGGCAGAGTGGGGAGGGAGAAGCTTCCAAGTAAGAGGGAGGGCCCAGGTAGATGAGAATGGAGGTGGCTATGCGGGGGGGGGAACAGGCTTCTAGCTCCTTTTCTCCAGAAGCCCCCTTGAACCCTACTTGTTGGCCTTTGGGCCTCTGTCCCTCCCACCCACACCCCTCTCCCCAGGTGGTGAAGGCTGCAGCCGAGGGAGACAGAGACCGGGTCCTGCAGAAATCCCGGGACCTCAGATTCCTCACAGGCTTTGAAACCAAGGTTGGGAGACACTGGGGGAGTTGGGGGCTGGTGTCTATTGGTTGGGGGAGTGGGGAGCTGTTATCTCTACTGAGGGACTCTGGGGAAGGATGGGGGATGGGGCTTGTCTCCACTGGGGAGAGGAGAGGCTGTATGTCTATGCTGGGAGAGTAGGGAACTCTAGCTATAATGGGGGCTCTGGGCAGGAGTGGGGGGATGCATTGCTTGACTACTCAGGCACTCTGGGAAAATGGCCACCACTATGAGTTCTAGAGGGTCGGTGGCTGCTCGTGGGTCCTGGGGGTCGGGGAGCGGAGGCTGCTTATCTGTGGAGAGTGGAGGGCTACTTGTCTGTAGGAGGCTCTGAGAGGAAGTGAGGGGCTGTTTATCTGGGGGGAAATAGGAGCTGCGTGTTACTAGAGGCTCAGGAGCGGAGGCTGCTTAGTACTCTTGGGAGAGTCAGGGGCTTGTGTTCATACTTGAGGGAGCTGAGAGCTGCTTGTCTCTTCTGGGTTACATGGAGGGCTCTATGTGCATACTGGGTGCACCTGCTGTCCCCACCCCTAGGCATTCTCCGATGCCCACGTGGAGGCAGTAATGATCCTGGGGGAACCCTTCGCCACCCAGGGCCCCTACGACTTTGGGGCAGGGGACACTGCCCGCCGCATACAAGGCCTCATCCCGGTGCTGCTGCAGCACCGGCTGCGCCCTCCTCCTGAGGAGACGTATGCCCTGCACCGCAAGCTGGCTGGGGCTTTCCTGGCCTGCGCCCGCCTCCGCGCCCACATTGCCTGCAGGGACCTCTTCCAGGACACCTACCACCGATACTGGGCCAGTCGCCAGACACAGCCACTGACCGGCAGCCTCCTGACCAGAGGGGACCTCAGGGCGGATCCCTCCTGACAGCCTCTGTGGGAGATCCCAGCCCCAGTCCCAGAGCTGGGCCACCCCCTGCTGTGGTCCTCCTGTCCCTGCACCCTCTGCTCTAGGACCAGGGGACCCCCTTGGGTTTCCCAGCCTCGCCTAGCTCCCCTCTTTGGCCCAGGAGCTCAGGAAGCCCGGGGCTAAGGAATTGCCAACTTCATGGCCTATATCCTGCTGCTCCCCACTCCAAAGTGGGTGTCCAGGAATTCTAAGCCAGGGAAGCGGTTAACTTATTTCTGCCAACATGTGAGGGAGCCCTCAGCCCTCCTGCGTGCCCTTATGGAGAACCGGACTCCAGAGGGCGAGCCCCTCACCTCTGCCTCGGGTCTCCTGGTCTCCGAAACAGAAGAGATGGTGGCCAGTGGGTGCACCTCTCACCTTTGCCTCCCTCACTCTTCCACCAGCTGCCTTCACCCGGGTTCCAGCTTCTCTGTGTGTTGGGGGGGGTGGAGTTTGAACCTTTAGTCGGAATAAAAGCGGCTCTCCCCTTCCCCTAGCTCTTTTCTGTGCTCGGGGGTTGGGGGGGAGGAACTCCCCGACGGCCTCCAGGTGCAGATGGCCAGCCCCTCCCAACCCCCTTGTTTGAAAGCCCCAGCCTTGCCTGGGCCATCTGTTGCCAGGAACCTCCCCCCCGCCAGTGCTGACCACCTGCTCGAAAGGCTGTAGCAGCTGAGAAGGCCTCCCCCACACACACTGCCTCCCGGCCTCCCGGATTCCGGGCTTCAGGCTCCCTCCCCTAGCTCCCGGCAACCTCGCCTTTACTAATGGGCCCTAATGCCCCTGCCAGCTGCTTTGCCAAACCCACAGGACAGGGGGAGGAGCGGGGGCGCCGTAGCGGCCACGACCGCGCCCTGGTCCCAGCCCGGCGCCCCCGCCCCCAAAGCCGAACCGATCGCGTACCAGGATGTCGGGGTCTGTTCATTCCCCCTCCCCCTCCTTGCAAAAAGTGCCTCGTCACCGCTTCTGCCCGCCCGCGCCGGGCTGGGAGAACCGTGGGGTTCGCCGGAAGATTTGGGGATGTGGGGCGGCAAGGCGCCTCCTGCAGCAACTCTTTCCGACGCGGAACTGGAGGTGATCTGAGGTCAGGGGTCACGGAAGGGAAAGGAGCCCACGCCCGGACGGACCTAGGGTAAGGACTCAGCAAGGCTCAAGTGCGCGCTCAGCCAGGGACTGGCTAATGGGCGTGGCAGGGCGGTGGCCGCACTGGAGAAGGCGGGGCTGTATTTGCGTACAGGCGTGGCCTGCGGGCCAAGGGGAGGGGTTGGCGCCGGGACGGGGCGGGGTCTTTTTGCATATCCAGCGGGCTGCGGGCCAATGGGCGGGACTGGGGCGGGGAGCCGAGGCAGGAGGGATGATCCCCCGCCCCCGGAACGGAATCCTCCGGGGAGCCGAGCAGGCTCGCGCGTGCATCCCGCACCATCCCCCGGCCCCGGGCCCTGGCCCGCGTCAGACCGAGCTGCCGCCGCCGCCACAGCAGCAGCAGCACTCGGGGAGCCGGGCCCAGCAGGGGCCGCGGGAGGCGGGGGCGCCCGGGCCCTGGATGTCTCGCAGCGCGGCGGCCAGCGTGAGAAGGGCGGGAGAGGGGGGCTCGGGTCGGGGGCGGCGCCGCTGCTGATGTGGCGGAGGGTGGGAGGCGGCCGCGGCGCCCGGATGGAGAGAGAGTGCCAAGGCTGAAGAGGGTGGTCCTGGGTGGGGGTCCAGGAGCAGGCCCCCACCAAGCCAAAGCCCGGGAGACGGGGGTCCCGGACACAGACCTCGAGGCCATCCCTTACCAAGACCCTGGAAATAGGGATCCTGGACAGACTCCCCCCAAAAAATCAAGGACAGGGCTACAGAGATTCTAGGTACAACTCTCTAAGCAAGATTTTGGGGATGGGGTCCAAGACACAGCCTCCATATCAAACCGAGGCCGCCGGGAGGCAATCCCAGACAAAATCCCTACCTCTCCCTGCCTGAGGGGATCTTTGAGGCCAACAACCCCCTAGGCAAGGTCTTGAGGATGGGGTCCCTGGGTACACCTTTCCCACGAAGCCAAGGCCTGCGGGAATTCCAGGCACAGTCTGCCCCCAAGCCTCAGGGGCATCTTGGGCACAGCATCCCCCCAAACCTTGGGCGGCGTCCCAGGTACAGCCCCTTCTCAAAACAAGGCCCCCGTGCCCGGGACTCTATCCAGCCCAGCCTGAATAAAATAAGAATTTATCCCCCCCACCCCAGGCTTGGTCAAGGGTCCCAGGGCACAGGTCCCCTAGGCCACCCCCTTTGTCCCCAGGGCTGCTCAGCTGTCCGAGAGACAGGCCCCACCCGCAGACAATGCGCCACCTCCCCCTCCCAGCCCTGGCCCCCCAAGCTCCAGGATTCAGGCTGGGCTGGGGGTGGCTCCCCAGGGACCCGGTGCAGCCGACCAGCATCCGGGCTTCGGCGGCTTTGTGTGTGGTACCTGGGGGGAAGGGGGAAAGCAAGCGATGGGGAGGTGGCTAGGAGTGTGACCCTGTGTTGTGTGACTGGCTGTGTTCATGTGTGCATGCGCTGCAGCTGGCGACTGTGAGGAATCCTGTGTCGTGTGTCTGTGTGCGTGCTTGTGGTTGTACGCGGTGGTGTCTGTGATTGTGTCTGTGTGTGACCCCGGTATTTGTGCGACTGTATGCGTGTATGACAGCTGCTCACTGTGCAGTCCCCTGTACTTTTTAGTCTGCGTTTGAGTGTCCGCATGGTTGTGACTGTGTGGTTGTATCTGTGATTGTCTTTTGTGACCTGTTTGTGTGCTTTGGTAACTATAACTGGATACGTGACAGTGTATGCCTTGAGTCTGGGGCTGGGCATGTGTGTGACTGATGGGGTGTGGGTGGAGTTGTGACTGTGTGTGTAAATGGAATTGTGTCTATGACTCCACGTCTGCGTGTCACTCTCCCAGTGACTGAGAATGTTTGTGGTTGTATCTATAACCCATTTTACATACATGAGTGACACACAACTGTCTCTGCAGCTCTGGCTGTGCGTCTGCCATGTATCTGAAGTTACATCTGTGGGACTGGGGTTGTGTGGCGGTATTAGTGTGTATGACAGAGGTTGTATATGCTTAACCATGTCTGTGTGTGTGACTGGGACTGTATAAACCACTTTATGTCTAGCTGTGTTGTGTGTATTACCGAGTGATTATGTGTCTTTATAGTCTCGTATGTGTGATTTGGGTTATCAATTTGACTTGGCGTCTGAAACCCTGGCTATTGTAAGGGGTTATTTAATTGTGTGTGACTCAAGCTATGGACGTGTCTGTGTGTGCTGGTGCCAGGCAAGTGTGTGTGTTTGTGGGGGTGTATATGTGACTGTGGCTTCTGTATTCCTGCGTGTGACCCTGGGTGACTATGCGTGCTTGTATCTGTGTCATGCGCTGTGAGAGTGTGGGTGTCTGTAGCTGCGTGGCTGTTTTTGTCTGTGTGTGTATGTGCTGGACTACCTGTGTTTGAACGTGTGCGATTTGGTGCTGAGGTGACCGGACCCTGGTCGTACACGTGGCTTTGTCAGGGACCAGGTCTTCCTGTAAACCCGGCAATAAATGGCACGTCGGGGTCACGGCATTTCTGTGCGTACACCCAACTGTGTCTTTGTGATACGGAAAATTAAAACTGTGTGCCTGTGTCTCCGCGTGTGAGATACTCTGTGTGCAGGTGGGGCTGTGACTTTGTGCACCTGTCCACACAGGGCCGTGATTATATGTGGCCACACACTTGTCTGTGTGACTCGTGTGTCTGCATGAAGAAACAACGTATGTTTCTCTGTGATGGCGTGACATGGTACGGCTGTGTGTGGAGGACACTTGGTGACGATATTATGACCATGACACATGGCTGGGTAATGTGGACACTGGGGCTGTGTGACCGTCCATGCAGGACCACTTCTGGAATGTTTCTGCATATGTCTGAGGGTAGCCGTGCTCAGGGATAGTGGTTTCTGGGTGGCGGCATGCTGTGCCTTGTGTGTGTATAATGCACAGGGCTACGGCCATCAGTATCTCAGTGAGTGTGTATCGAAGACTGTCCATATAAGTGTGGCTGTCACCGAAGACTGGTACTGCAACCAAATGTGAGTACGCCCTACTGGGCATGCGTGACAGTATAGGACCTCGTAAAAGCTGTGCTGGCGTGACTGATGCAGTCGAGGCTCAAAGTCCACGTGCAGCTGTGGCTGTATGTGGTCTGTGGTCCGTCTGTGTCATCCAGTACCAGATGTTAGTGTGCGACAGTGGAGATGTGTGGCAGGTGTGTGTAGCTATGATTGTGTCATTATTTGACTGGGTATGATTCTGTCTGGGTGGGCCCGTGATGTGGGTATCTTGGGCGGGTGCCTGAGGAAACATTGTCATGGGGCGTGGTTGTACTTGTGTTGCTCTGGTACGTGTGCCTGGGCCCAGTTCTTTGTATGTGGCTGAGAAAATGGAAGTGACCAAATATTAGTAGCGGGTGTGACCAGGTGTCTGGTGGGGCCCCAGCGGGCTGAGACACTCTTACAAGTATGTGGGCAAATGTCTGTCGTACAGACTGTGCGTGTCTATGAACATGAACATGTGGCCAGTGTTTATAGTGGCAGCTTTCTGTGGCTGTGACCATTTCTGTGTATCTGTGCTATCTGAGGTTATGTAGCTCTGTGTGTAACCAAGTGTGCAGAGCTGTAACCAGGTGCTAGGGACAACTGTAGACATGAGTTGGCTACATCCATGTGACTGTACGTTGGTGTACAGCCCTGGACATGTGTCTAGAGGGCAAGCCCACTGTCCTCACACCATCCCCTTGGGTATTGAGGGTCTCTTGAGGCCAGCCCATCCCAAACAAATTTCCCCCCAAACACACCTACTCATTTCTGGGCCCTTGGAACCAGGTGGCTGATCTCCCTGGTAACGGTTGCCATGGCAACTAGGGCTCTCATCAAGACGCCTGGATGGAGGGGGCTGGCTGAAGTCCAGAGGTGTAGTGAGGTAGGGGACGAAGCCCCACCCCAAACAAACTTCTCAACTTCTCCTCCCTCCCTTGGGCAGGGCGGACCCGGGAGGCCTGAGCAGCATCTGCCCCCAGCCCCTTGTGGGGCCCCGGGGCCCCTTGAAACCTCCAGGACGGAGCCAGGTTAGTGATCAGCTTGGGACATAGCAAGGGCTGAGTGGGCAGGTGGGTGTGCCTAGCATGACCAGGGGAACTGTACCCGCAGCTACCCAGGCTTAATCGTATTCCTGAGTGGACATCCTCAGACATCTTCCCTGCACCCTCAGTGACCGTCAGCCCTGCTCGTTCACAGGCACACGTACCCCCAACAGCCTCACACTCACAGACGCAGGGTGACACACACTCAGACACTTACACATCTGCAGACAGACAGACACACAGACGACGATCACTTCAGATCCACACACACTTATTAACGCAGTAACGGACACCCTTAAAGATGTGCTTAAGTCGATGTTCGTTCGCACCAACACACACCTATATGTTCGTGCGGTGGGATCCACGCACACAAACACAGAGACACGTTCCCAGACAACACCCAGACGCACACAGGCACCCGCCAGGTACAGCTTCTCAGATACACACACTCGAGAGACACGCTCTTGCGCATTCTACCAGGTGACACACACAGACCCACACCTGTACAGGCGACAGCTGCACTTTCACACACAGACACGGCCTCGCAGACAGCACCTGCGGGGCCAGCCTCTCACAAAGGGCTGCGCTTTTGCAGTCTCGCGAAGCATGCTCAGCACGACAACAGTCACACTCTCGCAAACAGCACTCACAAACGCACTCCCAAGGACAGCGACCTCGTGTTCTTGCACACTCTCACGGCTGCATCGCTGCGTACGGGCACACAAGCCTGGCCTCAGACTAGACACAGTTGTCCCAGAGCGGCTGTGTCTCAGAGTGCAGAGACAAGCCACCATCCCTCACACTCACACCTCCCCACGCCTGTCGCCTGCACCCCGACCCATGCAGTTCCCAGCTCCTGTGCCCTCTGATCACCTCATTGCCTGACCCTCATACCCCTAAACTCCTGACCTGGTGACCCCTGACCCCTGTGCCCTCTAACCCCCATGCCCTCCAATGCCCGACTTCTCGTCATTTGGATCCTCGTGTCTCTTGTCCGTCACATCCCCAACCTCCAAGCCCCCAAACCGTGTGATTCATAACCCGCCACCGCAGACCTCCGTGCCCCTTCGCCCCACGTTTCTGAATCCCCACTGCCCAACTCTCGCCTTCCCCTGCCACGTGCTGTCTCCTTTCCCGGTGTCCCCTGACTCGAGCTGCTGATCCCGTGTCCTCTGACCCAGTAACCCCACTCTCGTGTTATCTGACCTTATGCTCCCCGAGCGCCGTGTCCGTCCCGGTTGAGCCCCATACCTTCTGACCTCCGCCCTTGACCCACACTCCTGTCCTATGTCACCAGACGGGGCAGGCACCATGAACAAGTTACGGCAGAGCCTGCGGCGGAGGAAGCCAGCCTACGTGCCGGAGGCGTCGCGCCCGCACCAGTGGCAGGCGGACGAGGATGCGGTGCGCAAGGGCACGTGCAGCTTCCCGGTCAGGGTGAGTGGGCGGGCGCACGGTGGCGGGCGCACGGTGGCGGGCTTGGGCTCGTCGTGGGCTCTGGGCAAGATTGCTATGGCAAGAGACTTCCCTTTCTCAAAGGCCTGTGGAGCGTGCTGGGGCTCCTTTGAAGTTGGTATTAAAGCCAGGACATATTCTCTGTACCAGGAAACTATCACTCCCTAGGGGACATCATGTCAGGGGTCTCCGTATTGCGTGGGGGTTCACAGTTTCCAGTGGTGAAACCTCCCCTGGAAGGTCGCATAAGCTGCATGGCATTTGCAAAGCGCTCTGCTGTCAAGGGCTTTCGGGTGTAGACAAACACCACCCTACAACGTAGGCTACACTTTTGGGAGGGAGACAGCAGGATTCGGTCATGGGCTGTGGACCTCAGCTCCCCCTGGCTGGGCAACAGCTGACGATGATCACAGCCCCTCCACCATACTTTCCCTTCCTCCGGAAGCAGACCCTGTGTCAGGGGCTCCTTTGGGAGGCGCAGGAAGCGCTAGTGGGAGTGAGGAAGGGAAGGCAGCCAGCAAGGGTGTGTTACAAAACTGCTGCTGTGGGCAGCTGAGCTTCCCACGGGGGGAGTCACCCCACCGACAGGTGAGGGGGCTGGGGCTGGAGTAGCCCGCCTCCCATCAGTCATTGCAGGGCACTGGCCCGCACTCCTTCTACCTGCTTTAGGGTGGGCAGAGCAGCTTTCTGTGGCCTGGGGCCCGTCCTCAGGCACAGACATGCAAATAGTGGCTTTCAGAAGGACCATGGTGCAGGGTTAAGGCCCGGGGATAGAACCGGACAAAAACTGCTGCTCCATGCCATGCTTCAGTTTCTCATCTGCACCCCGGGACTAGGAATGGGGTGGCCCCCTTGTAGAGTTGACATACAGAATAAATGAATACGTACCAGGTGCTCAGAATATTGTCCGACGTGTGGCGGATGCTTGGTGAACACTGGGATTGTTGATTACTGTGCTATTTCATCCCTCACCCAAGTACCTGGGCCACGTGGAGGTGGAGGAGTCCCGGGGGATGCACGTGTGCGAAGAGGCTGTGAAGAAGCTGAAGGCGGTGAGTAAGGCCGGAGCGAGGGAGGGGGCGAGGGCAGAGAGGACAAGGCAGCCCCGACCTGACCAGGGCCCTCCGTCCCCCTCCCTCACCCCAGATGGGCCGAAAGTCCGTGAAGTCTGTCCTGTGGGTATCAGCCGATGGGCTCCGAGTGGTGGATGACAAGACCAAGGTAGGAGGCCGATGGGGGTGGGGGTGGACACCAGGGGGCCCCTCTCTTCACCCTGTTCAAATGGGGACCAAGAACAGCTTCCCGCCCCCTCTGGGATATCCCTCCCTCAGGGACCTTCTAGACTACGCCATGTGCTCATTTCATAGTCAGAGTTGGAGACTGAGTGCCGTGGTTGTTGGTGAGCTGGTAGGGATAGTGGCTGAGAGCACAGACTGGAGCAGCCGCCTCAGCTCTGATCCCAGCTTGGGGACCCTGGGCACAAGATTTGGGCCTTGTTAGGTCATCTAAAATAGGCGGACAATAACAGCCCCTACCATTGTATGAGAAAGTATGCGCGAATGGTTTCAGATGGTGCCTGGCACGTGGTGAGCACGCAGATCATGGAATGTTAGCTGTTCTGTGTTTATGGTCGGTCTACACAGCCAGATGGAAGCACCGCGAGGCCAGGCTCTGGATATCCCTTTGCTCACCGCTGAATCCCCTGCCCGGAGACAGCCCTAGGAGGTGCCAGGACATGCTGAGAGTTGGGTTAATGGCAGAACAGGATCACCGTATTTGCAGGCAGTTCCCTCAGCCTGAGATACTGTTCCCTGCCTTTTTGCCTAGTTTAACCTCCTCTGGGAAGCTTTGTCTGACTTGCCCCCATGTTGGCTTTCTCCATCCTGGCCCCGACCCTTCTGCCTGTGTCCCCCCATCCCGGTCCTGACTCCTCGGCCCACACCTCCCTCATTACAGCCTGGCCGTGACTCTGGGTGGTCTCCATCTCATGATGGGTCTGACCTCCCCACTGAACTGGGAGCTCCCTGCAGGCAGGGACCATGTCTGTCTCAGTGACTCCTGGGTCCCCACCCCACTCAGGACCGGATTTCAGCAGACACTAAGGGAATGTTGAATGAATACATGAAAGACAGTTCACACTCCTCTCCTGGCCTCCCTGTCCACTCCTAGGACCTGCTGGTAGACCAGACCATCGAAAAGGTCTCCTTCTGTGCTCCTGACCGCAACCTGGACAAAGCTTTCTCCTACATCTGTCGTGACGGGACCACCCGCCGCTGGATCTGCCACTGTTTCCTGGCGCTCAAGGACTCTGTGAGTGTCGCCACAGCTGGCCAGCCCTTCTCTCCCGTGTCCTGCATCCCAGCTCCACCTCGGTGTCCCAGCCCCACCCCGCGGGCCGTGTGGATTCAGGCAACTCACTTGCCTCCCTGTGCCCAGTTTCCTTATCTGGAGAAGAGGGTGTACTCACAGTTCCTAACTCAGAGGATTACTGTGGGACTCGAGCGGGTTAATACAGGGTGTTTAGAACAATGCCTGGCACGTCTGAATCACGCAGCAGCAGCGCAGCACACAGTAACGCACGGACTGCCAGGGCGCAGATCCATGAATTTTTGCATAAGTAAAAACCCCACCCAGGTCAACTTAAAGGGACTATCTTGACCCCAGCAGGCTCCCTCGGGTCCTTCTCAAACAACACCCCACACAGCACCCACTTCATTCAGCCTCAATTCATTTTGCTTGTGGTTCTTAATAATTTAGGGGAGTCAGGGTCCCCTCTGAGAATCTGATGAAAGTGACACACGGACCGTCTTCTGAGAAGCATTCGTGCAGTTAAGGTACTGAGGCTTGTGTCAGAAAACCCCCAGATACCAGTGGTTTCAGTGAAATAGAAGTTTGTCTCTGTTTCACGTGAAGGAAACCTAAAGGCAGTCAGTGTGGCATTGGTGTGGCACCTCTGTGTTCGTCAGGAGCTACGGTTCCTTTCAACTTGTTGCTCCTCCAGAGTAGAGCTTCCATTCTGTGATTCAAGATGGATGCATATGTTCCAGCCATCACGTCTCCATTCCAGCCAGCACAAAGGAGGGAGGCATGAAGAAGGGCATATCCTGTCCTTTTCGGGCTGCATGTAGCCCTTTACTTACATCCTATTGGCCAGAACCTAGTCACATGGACATTCCTAGTTACAAAAGATGGTGGAAAATGTAGGCTTTATTCTGCCCTGTGCCCTGGTCCCCGACCTCAGACTCCATAAAACTCTGGTAGGAAGCCACAGTCTCTGTCCGCTACATTAGCCTGTGTTTGGTTGCTAGCAACAGAAATTAATCTGATTAACTTAAACCCAGCATGAGATTAATGGAAGGATATGAGGAATGTCACAAAACTGAAGGACAGTTGGAAGCATTGAGTCTGAGAAAGGGCAGAGAGCAAGGCAGCCTTGCACACTGCATGACTGGGCAGTTTCTTTAGGGCACCCCTGCAGAAGAAATTCTGCAACACGCTGGGTTCAAATTCCAACAGGAGGGTATGGGATTAGCCTAGCTTGAGTCACTGTCTTCCCATTGGCCAGGGGAGGGTGGAGCACCCAGACTGACTTATACAGTGTTGAAGTGGAGTTCCCTCACAGGGAAAGTGGGGTGTTGTTATCAAAAGCAGGAGGAATGGCTGCTGGCCAGAATAAATAAGACCCACCCATCACGGGCCCTAACAGCCTCCACTCAAGCATTTCCCATCTTCCTCTTCATTTTTCAGAAATCCCCACTCCAAAAAGCTCTGAGCCTCCGAAACTAATCAGTATCCCCAACCTCCCTACTCACACATTTCAGAGCTGAAACCAGATAGCAGACGTGGAAAAGAAATTTGAGCATGGCAGTGTCGATTAGTCACTATTGATTAGTACCTGCCAGAGGCTGGTGTGGAGGTATTAGGAACCCCAGAACCCGTAGGAACTTCTGTTTCCTGAGCATGGCACAGCGGATAGTAGTTGTATCAGTAATCTATTGCTGCATAACAAATTGCTCCAAAACTTTGTGGCTTAAAGTTAGAGTCATTTCTTATCTTTCATGGTTTCTGTGGGTTAGGAATCTGGGAAAGGTTCAGCTGGGCTGTTCTGGCTCCAGGGTCTCTCATGATGTTGCAATCAGATGGTGTCTGGAGCTGTAACACCAGGAGGATAGCTGGACACTCTCTTTCTTCCTGTAGTCTCAGGACCTCTCCACAGGGTCTTTGCAGCATGGAGGCTTCAGGATAGCTCAGGGGTCCAAAGCGAGTAGACAGAGAGAGAGAGAGAGAGTGTGTTTGAGTGTGAGCATGTAAAAGCAAGAGCAAGCACACTCACAAGCCAGGAGGAAGCTGTATTGCCATTTTAGACTTGGTCTTGGAAATCAGACAGCATGGCTTCTCTGGTACTGTCTTTGTCCAGGCAGTCACAGAGATCTTCCCAGGTCTTCCCTGGTTAAGGGCAGAGGACATAGACTCCACCTCTAATGGGAGAGTCACAAGGTTCTAGAAGAGCCTGTGGGGCCAGAAATTAGTTGCAACTATTTTTGGAAAACACACTGCCAAATGGTTAGTAGCTGGCTAGTGTAGATTCAGTGTCAAACTATCTGGTTGTGGGACCTTAGGTACAGGTGACTTCTCCTCTCTGGGAATAATAGTGGCTTCTCACAAGTTTGTGGGGAAGCATTCATTGTGATCGTCCACAGAGAGTTGTAAACAGAGTCCTGTAATAAGTGTTCAACAAATAGGAACAGTTGCTATCATTTGGAAACCCTTTGGGGAAGAAACTCAAAGCCAGAAAAGAGCAGGACCATCCTCTGGGTAAAGAGTGTGACATTGGATGAATTCCTCCCTAATTCTGAGGAAGTAGGAAGTTTTAAGCATTAAGCACTGGAATTCCCAGGATTCCTCAAGTTTAACTTTTTTTTCTTTTTGAGGTGAAATTTTTTTTTTTTCCTTCTCCATTTCCAATTTGGATACCTTTTCTTTCTTTTTATTGTCTAGTTATTCTGGCTAGAATTTCTAGTACAATGTTGAAAAGAAGTGAGGAAAACGAGTATCCTTGTCTCGTTTCTGATCTTCGGGGGAAAGTTTTCATTTTTTCCCCATTGAGTATGATGTTAGTTGTGGGGTTTTCATAAAAGTCCCTTTTCAGCTTGAGGAAGTTCTCTTCTGTTCCTAGTTTGTTGAGTGTTTTTATCATAAAAGGGTATTGGATTTTGTTCAATGCTTTTTCTGCGCCAATTAAGATGGTTAATTTTTTTTCCCCTTCATGTGGTTTTTTTTTTCCTATTAATGTTTTTCCCTATTACACTGATTGATTTTCATATGTTGAACCAACCTTGCATTCCTGGGATAAATCCCACTTGGTCAT